TGAAGCATCCGCTATGGCTTTCATTGTTTCGAGACTGGTTCTGTCGTTTAAATGGGTCAACACTAAAAAAGCCAAATATTGAATATGGTTGTATTTAATACATTCTGTTGCGCATTCTTTCGGGGTCAGCCCCTTGTCATTTGACCATTCAAATGTAACGTTCGTTCTTGCCTCTTCTAGAATTTTCAGTCGGTTTTCCAGTCGTTGTAAAATAAACCTTCAAAAATGATACAAAAACGATCAGAGTAACTGAATGGTGTCAGGTCAGGAATCTTTAGCGCGTATGTGAAGACACTATATAACTACTCAAGACGTCACTGTGATGAGAAAAGTGATGAGAAGGAAGCGCTAATCCAAATTAACGCTAATCCAAATTAACGCTACTGAGTAAATCAATTGTAGCACTTGGATGGTATCTGTGGAATGCCATTACACTCTGTGGGGGTGTGCCTTTTCAGAAAAGTGAATTGGTGATGGACAAGAACCATACTGATTCACGTTGACCGAATCAAGTTGACCCCGTGTTTCCCGTCCTGTTATCATTATCCCATACACGCAGGTATAGGGGTAATGCTTTCAACTTGAAACCCTATCCCTCAGGCTGTTTGCGAGTGTTCATGTTTTAGATAACATGAATATACAAATACACCAACATCTGTTGTTTATCATCTACGTGGGAGGTCTATTTCACATTAGGAACACTTATGACAAACGATTTATCAATAATCCTATGCGCTCACACTTAATCTTGTGATTGAGTTCAAACTGGCATTCACGGACAGTGCTTCGGAATAATACACATCGCTCGTATCAAACACCGTTGATGTTCGCGGGTGGAACGCATTGGGCCACTTTCTGTCTGAAATACCTTACCACGAAGATTATTTTGACTCGTACGGTAGTCATGTCACATAATTTAAGAGATTTCTCGTACGTGGATCTACAATCATCAAATACTTTGATTTCAAGCAATGTGTAGCCAATACGTCGTGTATGACTCGTTGTGTAGATATCCATGAGATGACCTTTCACAGAAGGTCAAACTTGGTCTACCGCCTTTGAATCTTCGGCAAGAAGGCGAGGACATATCTTCTTCGCCAAGGGAAAAACGAAAATCGCTACGTTACACCGTAAACTCATTCCGTGTGATGATTATGTATGTCAAACGTTATTCTGTGAAACGATCAGTAATATATATTTTAACTCATCGTAGCGTAGTCCACCATTTTTGAAAAAACAAACTGTACGTCGATCACCGATTTTGCATACTTTGCATTTTAGCGGGGTTTATTACTGCAGTTTTACGGGGTGACTATTGGTTTTTAATATTATTCTCTCTCTCTCTTTTTTCTTCTACGACAGATGAGCGATGGAATAAAAAAAATGTACAGACTGCTTGACTCATTGAAAGGATGTAAGAAATGTAAAAATGAACATGTATATATAGAATGAATTATTATTTATTGTTCACTGTTTACTATTATTGACGTTTCCCTTTTCTGTGTTTTTAATCGAATCTGTAAAACGATCAGGTAAATATATTTTTTAACTCATAGTAGCATAGTCCGCCATTTTTTGAAAACCAAACTGTACTGATTTTGCATACTTTGCATTTTAGTGGCTTTATGACCGCAGTTTTACGGGGTGACTATTGGTTTTTAATATTATTCTCTCTCTCTCTCTTTTTCTTTTATGACAGATGAGCGATTCTGATTAGAGGGATGGAATAAGAAAAAAAAAGTGTACAGGCTGTTTGACTCATTGAAAGGATGTAAGAAATGTAAAAATGAACATGTATATATAGAATGAATTATTATTTATTGTTCACTGTTTACTATTATTGACGTTTCTCTTTTCTCTGTTTTTAATCGAATCGTTTATGTACTCGTATTTTTTCGTGTCGTTAAAAATAATTTACTCAAACAAAACAAAGCAAATATGAGGTAAGAAAATATAAACAATGAACAACATATGTATATATAGAATGAATTATTTTTATTGTTCACTGTTTACTGTATAATTATTGACTTTTCACTCTTCCGTGTATTTAATCGAATCGTTTATGTACTCGTATTTCTCGTGACGTGAAAAATGAATTTAAACACGCCGCACATT